GGGGCGCGACTATAGGTAGTCCTCGACTTACAACAGTTCGTTTAGTGGCCGTTCAAACTTGCAAGCGGCGCTGGAAGAAAGCGACTTAGGGCCGTTTTCCCCCAGTTGCGACCTTTGTCAGGGGATGGACGTTTAGGCCTTTGGCAACCGTTGCTGTGTCCCAAGATCAGGTGATTCCCCTTTTGCGACCCCCTGACAAGCAAAGCCAATGGAGAAGGCAGAGTCACTTAACGGCCGGGTTAACAACTCATCCACTGGAGTGATTCCCTTAGCGACTGTGGCAAGAAAGGTCTTAAAATGGGGCAAAACCTGTTTAACAAATGTCTCACTTAGCAACATAAATGTTGGGCTCAACTGTGGTCGTAAGTCGAGGCCTGCCTGTAGTCCCTCCTCATTCCCCAGCCAATATGGAGCAGTGCCTTTTGGTATTACAGCTCCTGCTTGCCTCACCTCCCGCCACTGTTGAGGGCTGCCGGGACAGACCCCAGGAGACCCACCAGCAAGACATGTACCCATTTGAAACTCACTCCCCTTTGCCCCCCAGCTAGCCCCCCTCCCTTTACTCCATGCCTATCCCCTAAATCAGAGCTTTTCAACCAGTGGTACGGGTACCACCTGTGGTCCATTGGCACCTGGCAGGTGGTACGCAACCATCCTAGAAAAGTGGTAGTGGGGGAGGGGAATGAGCTGAACCGGTGGCAGCACCGCACAAGCCTGACCGAGAGACGGCTGGAGCTGCAGGGCTGTCAGGGCTCAGCGGAAGCGCCAGGATCAGTGCCAGGGTCCAGCTGGAGCGCAGCGCTGATCCTGGCACTTCTGAGCCCAGAAGAAGCGCCGATCAGCTGGACTGTTGCAGCCTCTCCAGGGTCTTGTGATTTACATTCAGATGCTTGGCAACTGATTCATATTTATGACGGTCACAGTGTCCCAGGGTCATGTGAAGTGACCAAAACCTACTGCAACCACCCAGCAGACGGGGGGAATAAAAACCAACCCCCCCCCACCCCACCCCTGTTGCCAATCCTCAACAGAAATGCTCACAACAATGAAAACCTCGGACAGGAGGAAGAGCGTGGCCGGGTGGGCAGGCAGGTGTCTTGCTCGGCTGTGGCTTGGGGGGCACTTTTTTCAGTGCCATTGTAACTTCAAACAGTCACTAAGCAAACTGTTGTAAGTTGAGGACTACCTGTACTACTCACTTTTTCTTTTCTTTTTTTTGGGGGGGGGCATCAAGTTTTTGACACCTTGCTAGGCGACTGGTGGTACTTGGAGGTTGCCATATCCTAAAAGTGGTACGATGGGTGAAAAGGTTGAAAAGCCCTGCACTACAGTCCTCCCCATAACCCCCCTCCCTTCTAGCACTGAAGATGTTACCTAGTTAGGGTAATGAAACGTCTACAAGAACACCGCCAAGCTCAAAGAGCACCCTCTCATTTCAACCCTGAGCTATAAATATTCTCCTTTGCAGCCTTAGGACTCACCCTGACCTATGTGTCCTATTGAATGCTTCTGTTTGACTTTCCCCTCTTGGACACATCAGAGTTTTCATTTTTATTCATAGTCCGTGATAGCAGTTGTCGCCTGACATTTTTAGAGGCCCTCTGGATTGAGGGAGTCTGGAGGGCACAGTTAGGGGGCAGGCAACCACAGGCCAGTAACCCACCTTTCAGCTTACTCCATGATTTGCCAGTTTGCCATGCCTGGCTGCTACAGCCAGCAAGAGTAATGTGGCATAATGTTTCCCCCTCCCCGATTCCGTGGCGATTCCCCAGACGCCATTGATAATAGGTAGTTCCCAAGGACTTTACAGTTCCCTCAACTTCTTCAAGTTAACTTCTTCAAGTTCTTCTGTGCCCTCTGATAGCATTCTCAACTTTGCTTGAGAGGATATTGTGCTCCTGTTTTCCAGAGGTCTTAAAGTTATCCACACACACACACACACAAAAGCAACACACCATGACGTGATTGTCAAGTCAAGGTTTCAACACTTGCCTCTCCCACCCTCTATTTTAAGGGTCAGGCATTTGTGTACGGTGCTTGTGAGGATGACTTTGCAAAGGTCGCTTTTGATGCCCGTGGTTCAGTTTGAATGTACTGGGTGGCACAGTCTGGATGGCTTGATCTGTCACTTTCCCTGTTTTGGAATGCTTGGATGGTGGCCATAGAGCTTGGCAGCTGCTGCCACTGTGGAGTCTTTTAATAGACCATGCCACATGGCTTGCTTTCTGCAAACCCAACAAGTCTCTTTGCATCCCAGAGAAGGGCTGCTTTTAAACGGCTGCTGAGGGTTAGTACCGTTCACAAGTGTTCCTTCTTTGGGAAGGCAAAGAGCTCGGATTGTGTCTCAAAGGTGTTTTCCAAAAGGCAACTGGAGCTTCTTGGGTTTTTTTTTTCCTTGAAAATGTTTCATTTCTCATCCAAGAAACTTCTTCGGCGCTGATTGCCCTTCAATCAGAACTGAAGAAGCTTCTTGGTTGAAAAGTGAAAAATAACCCAAGAAAGTCCAGTTGCCTTTTGAAAAAGCATCTTTGGGACAACCGTGACCTGGATGATTAAGGATCTCCATCATCAGATCGGATTGTGGCTTTTTCTTGTCCATTGAAGCCATTATGGGACAAGAAGGCTAATTTTACAGCCCTGCAGCTATGCATTCCAGAAAGGTGGCTGGCTGTATTAGATTCTGACAGTAAAACTCACAATTGCACACTAAGTCATAAATCATGGTATACAAATTACAAACGAGGTCCAGGCAGAAGAAGAACATCGCGGCTGCTGATAAAAACAGGATCGCCAACATGATCGCCAACGTCTGATAACGGATATGGCACAAGAAGAAGAAAGCATATTTTATTTTCTTTATATTTCATACATTATCTGTCCATCTTCCTCAAAGACAGTGTCAGACCTTCTCCTTGCAGGGACCCTGGGAGAGAAAGACCCTCGACTCCATTTGGGTGAAGGGATAGGTTCTTTTACTAAAGGCTGCTGGTTGCAGCAAATGTAGGCTAGAACTAAGATTCCTGCACAAAAGGTCACAATTTTTCCCCTCCCCCCATGACCAGTTTGTCTTCAGTCAATGAGCCGTGTAGGTGTTTTGAGAATCGCTGAGATGTTTGGGGCAATCCACATTCCACTCTCAGGGTGCGTGGCCTTGAAGACTGGCACAGACTGGTTTGTGCCTCCCTGATCTTTCTTAAGCTGTCACCCCCTCCTCCTTATTTCCCATCATATCCCCATACATGTTCATTGGCCAGTTCTCCCCCTTGCCCCCTTCCTCCTAGCTTTTGATGGTAGGATATCGGCAAGGTGCCAAGCCAAAGATGGCAGAACTGACAGATTCTGGGCGATGCAGAGGGGCTCTGGGTGGTATATAATAGCTTCACATTATATCTGAGTCCAACTGAAGAATTTCCAAGCGACAGCTTCTTCCTAACTTGTGCTTTTCGTAGAGCTGTGGTTGAAGCAGTGCATCGATTGGATCTCATTCTTGGAAACAAGGCAGCTTATCAAGAAATATTTAAGCCAGAGAACATCAGCCTGAGAAACAAGTAAGAAAGTTGGGTCTTCTTTTATTCCTTGTTCTGTATTTCAACCAGATGTATGGTCTTGAAAGGACAAGAGGCAGCAGTTTTACTCAAATAAGTCTGGGCAAAATATTGCTGGGGGGAAATTAGTTCCGTGGAAATAACAGACTTATCATAAAAACGTTGTATTCCTGTGTGGCAAAACTAGTTTGCTGTTTGTTTGTTCGTTTGTTCGTTCATTCATGTAGAGCAGAGCATTGCTTCTATCTAGGGCTCATGTTCCAGAGGTTCAGCCTCAGTGTAAATTCCATTGCACAGAATATTGTTTGGAAGTAGCTTCATAGATGAGGGTCTAGGTCAGGGGTAGGCAACCTCGGCTCTTTTATGACTCATGGACTTCAACTCCCAGAATTCCTGAATCAGCACTGACTCAGGAATTCTGGGAGTTGAAGTCCATGAGTCATAAAAGAGCCAAGGTTGCCTACCCCTGGTCTAGGTCCTGCTCTGCAGATTGAGTGGCCTCGATAGACACTTCCTGACTTTTAGCAGAATGCAGTTCTTAGTCTTCAAAAGCTGCAGATATACTTCAGAGCCGTGGTGCTGCAGTGGTTAGAATGCAGTATTGCAGGCTGACACTGCCCACTGCCAGCAAGTTCAATCCTGACCAGCTCAAGGTTGACACCGCCTTCCATCTTTCTGAGGTCAGTAAAATGAGGAGCCCAGATGGTTGGGGGCAAAATGCTGACATCTGTAAACCGCTTAGAGAGGGCTGTGAAGCGGTATATAAGTCTATTGCTAGCTATTGCAATACAAGGAGCTTATGAGCCAAGGGATCTTGAAGTCCTCCCGCTGGCATCTCATTTGTCACAGCAAGATCTGAGGAAGTCCTTTTGGCTCCTTCCCCCCGATCTTAGGCGCATATATATAATTAGGACTGGGAAAAAAAATGTTTTTTAGACAAATTGTAAGCAGCTTCCGTCTCTCTGCTCTTCCTTCCTGCCCCAGGCTCCGCGAACTGTGTGTAAAGCTGATGTTCCTGCACCCTGTGGACTATGGGAGGAAAGCAGAGGAGCTGCTGTGGCGGAAGGTTTACTACGAAGTCATCCAGCTGATTAAAACAAATAAAAAGGTAGGCGATGCGTTCTGACACGTTTGCGTTAACAATACACTCAGCTTGTGGATCCCGGCAGTACTTCCTACCCCGCGGTCAGCCTTAGTGATTTGTTGTGCTCAATAGTTGGTTGTCTCAATGTTTGCATGGCTGCTCCTTTGAATACCATTTGTTTGGTTTCAAGCAGAGTACGCCAACCTTTCCGGCTTTGCCGACCGGTGGAGGGGGAGGGGAGAGGGGAAGGTTCCACACGAGTGGCCGGCGCAGCTCACGCCAATGGAAGACGTGTGCACGCGCTCACCCGCTGCTCGTGCAAGTGGTGTGTGCACATCGGCTTGTCCGCCATTTCCGTGGCCTGGCTGCAAAAACCTCATGGTCCACTAGTGGGCTGCGGCCCTGAGGTTGGGGACCCCCAGTTTAAAGAATTAAAAAAACCAGCCTCCTGCCACCTTCTGTGTTGGGCTAGAAAGGAATCTTATTTGGATGCCAACCAAAGGCCGCAAGATAGAACAATAAATAAAAATGCCAGAGAGAGGGGAGGAATGTTTCTGGGAGGGTAACACTATCCTTCATTCAGTCTGGGACTTTGAAGCAAGGGAGTTGCAGGATTACCGCCTGGCTAGGTATTTGGGCTTTTTTGTCTCTTTCAATTGAGAGATTGTGGAATCAGTAATTAATGATTGATCTAAGAAAGTGGAAGAGGCATGGGTAAATCCAGGGGGCCTCCATGCTTTTCAGAATGAGAGGTAAAGGTTGACTATTATACTTAAAGTATATTTTTGAACAAAGCTATAGAACTATGGGTAGTCCTTGGCTTAGGACAGTGGTGGCGAACCTATGGCACGCGTGCCAGAGGCGGCACTCGGAGCCCTCTCTGTGGGCACGTGTGCCATCACCCCAGCCTCGCTCCCCCCACGGCCTTCACCAGCAGCCCCCCTGGAGGAGAGTCGCCCCTGAGCGCGGCCTGCACGGAGCAGCACAGCCAAGGATGTGGCAGCTGGGCAGCAGGAACAAGACTCCGCCCTCGCGCTTTATAGCATGCAGATGATGCTGCGGGTGTGGGCGGAGGGCGTGGCTGCCAGGGGGCTTCAGGGCTGCCTGGGCAATCTGCTGCGGTGGGTCATGGAGGCGGTATGTGGCCCTGCGGGCGGGCGAGGCAGGGGGTGGGCGGAGCAGGCAGAGCGGGGGGCCGGTTTTTGGGCACTCGGTCTCTAAAAGGTTAGCCATCACTGGCTTAGGACCACAACTGAACCCCAAATTTCTGTGGCTAAGCAAGACAGTTGTTATTTCTTGCCACCCTTGTCAAGTGAATCACAGTGGTTAAGTTAGTAACACGGTGGTTAAGTGAATCTGGTTTTCCCATTGACTTTGCGCATCAGAAAGTTACAAATGGTGGTCACGCGATCCTGGGACACGACAACTGTCATAAATACGAGCCAGTTGCCAAGCTTGATCATGTGACCACGGGGATGCTAAAACGATCGCAAGTATGAAAAGCGGTCATAAGACCCTTTTTTTTCCAGTGCTGTTGTAACTCCGAATGGTCACTGAATGAACCGTTGCAAGTCGAGGACTACCTGTATTTGTGTCTCCCAGCAGTAAACTGCAGCTGGGCTTTATCAGTGGGGATTCCGCTCCGTCGCTGCGTTGAGTATAGTCCATGATAACGTTGGCACTGGAGTCTTCAGAAGGAGAGCAGGCCTGAAATGGATAGGAACGGAATTGTTTAATTGCTGAATTAATCTTGGGCTTGATCTCTTGGGAAAGAAACACGGGTAGCCCCCGACTTACAACAGTTCATTTAGTGACCGTTCAAAGTTACAATGGCACTGAAAAATGTTTTTCATAGCTACAACCTTTGCAGCATCCCCACGGTCACGTAATCAAAAGTCAGATGCTTGGCAGCTGGTTTATATTTATGACCGTTGCAGTGTCCCAAAGTCACGTGTTTCCCTTTTGCGACCTTCTGACTAGCAAAGTCAACGGGGAAGCCAGATTCACTTAACACAGTGGTTCTCAACCTGTGGGTCGGGACCCCATTTGGGGTCGATCGGCCATTTCACGGGGGTCACCAAGCAAGGCTGTCCGCCATTTTTTTGTCTGCCATTTTTTTTCCCCTTTTCCAGCGGGTGCCTTACCTCCCTTGGGCTGGGCCAGCTGGTGGTCGGCCTGCTCCGTCTCTGCCGCTTGCCAGCTATGCCTCGGCTGGTGCAGGGGGCGGAACCACGCATGCGCGGCGCTCAGGGGCAGGGAAAGTCCTCGACTTACGACCGATTGGGTAGTCCTCGACTTACGACCGGCTTAGTCCTCAACTTATGACCGGTTGGGGTCACGGCATTAAAAAGGTTGAGAACCATTGACTTAACAGCTGGCTTACTAATTTACCAACTGGAGTGATTTGCTTAACGGTGGCAAGAAAGGCCGTAAAATGGGGCAAAACTGCCCATTGATTATCAGAGGAGACTAATCAGGGTTGAAAGAATCTCAAAGCCGTATGTCTGTCATTGTGTCTAGGGCAGTGGTGGCGAACCTATGGCACGCGTGCCAGAGGCGGCACTCGGAGCCCTCTCTGTGGGCACACGCACCGTCGCTCCAGCCCCGCCTCCTCCCACGGCCCCCTCCTCACCAGCAGCCCCCCTGGAGGAGAGTCCCCCCCCCGGCGTGGCCCACACGAAGCAGCGCAGCCAAGGACATGGTAGCCAGGCAGCGGGGACAAGACTCCGCCCTTGCGCCCCATCGCATGCAGATGATGCTGCGGGGCACGGGCAGAGGGCGTGGCCACCATGGTGCTGCTGGGCTGCCTGGGTGATCTGTGATGGGCTGTGGAGGTGGTGGGTGGCCCAGCGGGCAGGGCAGGGCAGAGCGGGGACAGGGTTGGGGGGGCGGTTTTTGGGCACTCGGTCTCTAGAAGGTTCGCCATCACTGGTCTAGTTTTATTCTTCTAAATATGGGATTTGAACTATCTTAACTATCTTGCTTAAAACAGATGTCAACGCTGCAAATACTGTATATTCTTGCTTTGACAATATGCAGAGCTGTCTGGCATTTTTATAGTTAAACCAGGCCGAAGGGGAAAAGAAACCGGATGTAAATCACATCTTCCAAGTTGATTGGAAGATGTGAACCATGACCCCAAAAAAGGGTGGGAGGGAAATGTTTAGAATTACATGCATAGCGGAAAAGGAACCAGTCCCAAGCATTCCTCCATGCTGTGCTGATGTGGCTTTAACATTAATAAATGCTTTTAGGAGAAAACATGCCTGAAAGTCCTTTTAAGTGTTTCGTTACTCAGACACATGACAACAGAAATGTTGGGCTCAGTTGCGGTCGTAAGTTGAGGACTGCCTGCCATGAAAAGCTAGGGATGGACCCTAACTTTCTCTCTCTCGTTTCCCAACCCACAGCACATTCATAGTCGTAGCACCCTCGAGTGTGCTTACCGGACTCACCTGATTGCTGGCATTGGGTTTTACCAGCACCTGCTTCTCTACATTCAGTCTCACTATCAGCTGGAGTTGCAGTGCTGCATTGACTGGACCCACGTTACAGATCCCCTGATAGGTCAGTGCTTCAGCCAAGGCTCAAGATTTCATCCTGTGCAAGAATTGCTTGACTCATCTGGCCTATTTATTATGCTTTTGAGGTCATGAGCAACAAAATAATCAGAGTTGGAAGGGACCTTGGAGGTCTTCTAGTGCAGCTTTTAAAAGGGGGAGGGAATGGATTTTATAATTATGTGTCTTCATCTCAACTTCACTGCAATCACCTGAGATTCCTCGACAGTTTTAAGTGAGACAGAAATGTCCAGATTAAACATTGCCTTAGAAAAGAGTATAATCATAGCTTGATTTGTGATTAGATAACTGCTCATCGCCTTCATGCTTTTTCAGCTCTTGACTGGTGGGAATCTGTAAAGCTGTCGCCCATCGTAACTTGCTAGATGACTAGTGTCCTTGGCAACCGTTGCTATGAGCATCTCCCTGGCTTCTCTGTAGAATTGATGGAGTGTGATTAACAATTTTCAGGCCCACGCTCAACTTCTTTGTCTTTTGGGGTCCTGGTTACACCTTAAAATCTCATCCAAATCTCTCACTTGACCGCACAGAGAGTGAGTTATAAATGCCCCAAAATGTGACATTCGAAGCTCATTTTAAGAAAACCTTTAGGCCAGTTTTCCCCAACCTGATTTTTTTTCCCCCCAGATGTGTTCTCCACCAGGCTGCAATCTACATAAATAAAAATGAGAATACATTCTACAATCAGAACAAATGAATTCTGCTGATTTTGTGGCGTGTTCACAGTCCTGGCAGTTAAATTCATGATACGGTTATCTTAGATCATGTCATAAATTATGTCATAAATTATGTCGTGCAAATATGTAGGGTACATTTACACAACCGGCTAAACCAGAGATAGGCAACCTTGGCTCTTTTATGACTGGTGGACTTCAACTCCCAGAATTCCTGAGCCAGCCTGGCTCAGCTTGGAAACTCCCCCTTTCCCCTCAGCATGGCTGGCTCAGGAATTCTGGGAGTTGAAGTCCACCAGTCATAAAAGAGCCAAGGTTGCCTACCCTTGGGCTAAACCAAAGCCAAGCCATAGTTTTTTGGTTGAGTCCTGTGGGTGAGCCATTCCTGTGTCAGTCCTGCTCTGTTCCCTTGTAGAGTTAAGGCTTCCTTTGGTTTTGCCTTTTGGCTTTTCCAGGCTTAATATCCTCCCTGGCCATTTTTAAATTGTGCATTTGGCAGGTGTGGGAGACACACGTGGGAGATGTGACAGTGAATGGCTTCGCTAATCAACGGAGGGAGGGGGTCAAAGCAGTTTGGGCAAGATGTGCAGCAGGGAAGAAGGAGGCTGTAGGGGAGAGAGAATAGCACTGACAGGAACCAGAAGGGTTAAACTGGATTGATCCAGCCCCCCCCCCTCCCTCCCCAAGGAAAGAATGTGAAGCCATTTTAAGACGCAGTGGTTTCCAAGATATTGCAACCATCGCACCGGGTTGCTGTTGGACACTGATGATCTGGTCAAGGGGGGGAGGAACGATGGAAGGGGAAAACTTGTACCTTTTGCGTGGGAGTACTCAGTTCTAGCCTCGCTTTTACTGCAACTACTAATCCTTAGTAAAAGATCACTTCAGTCGAATGGAGTCGAGGGTCTTTCTTTCCCGGGGGAGGCAGCTGGGGCAGGTCTGACAGTGAGCCAAAGTAAGCAAAGTGTGAAGGTAGACCGCCAATTGCCGACATAGAGCCCGGGCTGTCTTGATTCTCCAGCGCCTTGCTCTTAACGCTGTGCCGCCCTGTCGATTATTTCTTCCACAGGTTGCAAGAAGCCAGTCTCTGCATCAGAGAAGGAGATGGACTGGGCTCAGATAGCTTGCCATCGATGTCTCGTTTACCTGGGGGATTTAGGTGAGAGAGCCATTTTCCTGGGATTCACGTCCCAAGGTTTGGATTTATTTGAAATTGGGGGGCGGGGGGAGGAAAGCCCTGTCTAAGTAGCAGGCCATATTGGTTGTGGTAACTAACGTTTGAGATAAGCCCCTCGGGCAGGGGTAGGCAACCTTGGCTCTTTTATGACTCATGGACTTCAACTCCCAGAATTCCTGAGCCAGCCATGCTGAGGGGAAAGGGAGAGGTTTCCAACTGAGCCATGCTGGCTCAGGAATTCTGGGAGTTGAAGTCCACGAGTCATGAGGGGGCCAAAGTTTCCCTCATGCTGGCTCAGGAATTCTGGGAGTTGAAGTCCACGAGTCATGAGGGGGCCAAAGTTTCCCTCATGCTGGCTCAGGAATTCTGGGAGTTGAAGTCCACGAGTCATAAAAGAGCCAAGGTTGCCTACCCCTGCCCTAGGGACTTTTGATTTCATTTTTTGATGATTAGGAATCTCCTACTGTCTGAAGCATTTCCAGATGCTCAGCTACATAAAAGGATTGGTATATTTTTCTTTCCGTTGGGTATCAATGCTTTCGTGCTAGTTAATGACATGACTTTCAGTTAGGTGGTATAAAGCTTCGCTGTTTCACTCTTGCACATAAGTGAGTCAAGTATCTTCTGATGTATATCGTCTCAATTGTGCTTCTTAAGGCTTCTGTGTGTCTTTTGTGCCTTATCAGCTCGATATCAGAACGAATTGGCAGGTGTAGACACAGAATTGCTGGCTGAAAGGTTTTACTATCAAGCTCTTTCTGTTGCACCACAAATTGGTGAGTATTTTGTAATCTGGCATGCATATATAGAGGTACGCACGATCAAACAACGCACGTATGTATTTTGTAATTGATCACAAATAGAATATGGGTCAGCAACTGGAATGGAATAGAACAGAACAGAACAGAACAGAATAGAATAGAATAGAATAGAATAGAGCTGGAAGGGACCTTGGAGATCTTCTAGTCCAGCCCCCTGCTCAAGCAGGAGAACCTAACCATCTCAGACAAGTGGCTGTCCAGTCTCTTCTTCAAAATCTCCACGATTTCTGGAGGCAAGCCGTTCCACTGGTTTATTGTCCTCACTTATATAGCTTTTTTTAAATTACGTCAAAAGAAAATCATGAGCAACACATCAGACAAACTAACTCTCCAAAATTTGGCTATACAGATAGTCCTCGACCGTTCAAAGTTGCAACGGCACTGAAAAAAGTGACTTATGACCATTTTTCATACTTATGACCATTGCAGCATCTCCATGGTCACTTGATCAAAATTCAGACACTTGGCAACTGGTTCATATTTATGATAGTTTCAGTGTCCCGGGGTCACGTGATCCCCTTTTGCAACCTTCTAACCAGCAAAGTCAATGGAGAAATCAGAGTCCCTTCACAATCAACTGCAGTGGCAACAAATTTCTCACTTAGTGACATAAATTCTGGTCTCAGTTGTGGACGTAATTTGAGGACGACGTGTACTGCTGAAAGTAATTTACTTCTCTACTTTCTAAAAAAAAAAAAGTGATTCACATGCTGAGAGTTCCATCAGCAGTTCTCTGTCACAAACCAGGTACAGCTTTATCCTTCTAGTGATGTGAATCTTTTGGTCATCGCGTTTCTTGAGGTCTTGATGGATTCAGTGATTCAAATAGAGGAAGTCCTCGGGTTGCAGCAGTTCATTTAGTGAATGTTCAAAGTTACGAGGGCACCGAAAAAGGTGATGTAGGACCGTCGCAGCATCCCCAGGGTCACGTGATCAAAATTCAGATGCTTGGCAACTGGCTCGTATCTATGACGGTTACAGTATCCCGGAGTCATGCTTGTGATTTTTCCGATAAACCTAGTCAGTGGTCAAGCCAGATTCACTTAAATGTGTTACCAACTTAACAACTTCAGTGATTCACTTGACAACTGTGTCGAGAATGGTCGTAAGAGGGGGCAAAATTCACTTAACAAATCCCTTGCTTAGCAAAAGAAATTTTGGACTCAGTTGTGTTTGTAAATCTAAGACAGGGGTAGGCAACCTTGTCTCTTTTATGGCTCGTGGACTTCAACTCCCAGAATTCCCAGAATTCCTGAGCCATGCTGGGACTTGAAGTCCACGAGTCATAAAAGAGCCAAGGTTGCCTACCCCTGATCTAGGATTACCTGTATATCTAAAGGAATATATGCAACTTCTTAATGGGATCTCCAACATCAGGGCAATTGCAGTCAATACTTATTAAACCTTTCATATCTCTGATGAACCTCAAAAGTTCAATGTTAACGTCAAAGAAACCAACTTGGGTTTTTAAAAGCACCCTTTCCCTAAGGAACAGAAGGCTCACGTTGGTTATCTCAAAGCTCATATCAATAATTAGCACCCATTTTATCTCATTTCTTCAGGTACCTGTAATGGGTTACAGGTAGTCCTCAACTTACAATCATTTGTTTGGTGACCATTCAGATTTATGTCACTGAAAAAAGTGACAGCCAATCCTCGCCCTTACAGCATCTTCATGCTCACATCACCATCAAAATTTAGGCTCTTGGCAACCGGCGTGTATTTAGGACGCCTGTAGCATTCCAGGGTCACATCATCGCCATTGCCAATTCACGACCATATGAGGCATAGAATCAAAATCACCTGACATATTAGTAACACTTTATAAAGCCTTAGTAAGGCCAGACCTGGAATACTGCATCCAGTTTTGGTCACCACATTGCAAAAAAAGATGTCGAGACTTTGGAAAAACTGCACAGAGCAACTAGGATGATTAAGGGCCTGGAGACTAAAACATAGGAAGAACAGTTGCAGGATTTGGGTTTGGTCAGTCTATAGCAGACATGTCAAACACAAGGCCCGGGGGCCGGATGCGGCCCGCGAAGCCATCCTGGAAACAGAGAACGGCCCCCGCTGCCTTGGCCCTGGCCCAGGCCGGAGGGAGCCAATGTACAATTTTGTGGTGGCCATCTATGCTGAAACGCATTCAGTCTTAGCTCCACAAGGCCGTCTGGAAACAGCGAGGAACCAGCCCCTGCCGCGTTGGCATGCTGGGGAGGGGTCACCCTTTGTGAGAAATGAAGAAATGGACCATGCCTTGGCACTTGCCCCGGTCCCACCCCCTTCTGCCAGAGACCCTCAGATCTGCCCAGGCCCCCACAGGCCCCCTTGACGCGAACGATGTAGAACTGGCCATGCCCACCCAGTACTGGCCATGCCCACCCCTCCGGCGCTACGACCGGAGCTGGACCGATGTTATCTCCCCTTTCCCACGATGGACCTAACACCCTTACAACCCTGGGGATTGGTCGATTTGAACCGTCCGGATGAACTGTGAGGTGGGGTTTGCTTGGGGACACTTTAAAGCAGACATGTCAAACACAAGGCCCGGGGGCCGGATGCGGCCCGCGAAGTGGTTTCATGTGGCCCGTGAAGCCATCCTGGAAACAGTTAGGGAACGGCCCCCTCTGCCTTGGCCCTGGCCCAGGCCGGCCGGGAGCCAAGGTACAATTTTGTGGTGGCCATCTATGCTGAAAGGCATTCAGTCTTAGCTCCACAAGGCCGTCTGGAAACAGCGAGGAACCAGCCCCTGCCGCGTCGCCCCCGCCCCCTGGGTGCATGCTGGGGAGGGGTCACCCATTGTGAGGAATGAAGAAATGGACCATGCCTTAGGCACTTGTCCCGGTTCCACCCCCTTCTGCCAGAGACCCTCAGATCTGTCCCACTCCTGCCCAGGCCCCCCCAGGCACCCTTGACGCGAACGATGTACAGCTGTCCACGCCCACCCAGTAGGCCACACCCACTCCATCCACGCCCACCCAGTAGGCTGCACCCACCCTGCCCCCCGAGGGCAACCGCAATGCTGATGCGGCCCTCAATGAAATTGAGTTTGACACCCCTGGTCTAGAGAAAAAAAGGGACTAGGGGGGACATGATAGCATTATTCCAGTATTTGAGGGGCTGCCCCAAAGAAGAGGGGGGTCAACCTGTTCTCCAAAGCATCAGAAGGCAGGACAAGAAACAACGGATGGAAACTAACCGAGGAGAGAAGCAACTTGGAACTAAGGAGAAACTTTCTGACAGTGGGAACAATTAACCAGGGGAACAGCTTGACACCAGAAGTTGTGGGTGCATCATCACTGGAGGCTTTTAAGAAGAGACTGGACAGCCACTTGTCTGAAATGGTATAGGGTCGCCTGCTTGAGCAGGGGGTTGGGCTAGATGACCTCCAAGGTCCCTTCCAGCTCGATTTTGATTCATTTAACTGCAGTGTTTTGCTTAACCATGCAAAGCCAATGGGGGAGGCTGGATTTGCTTAACAACTGTGTAACTCACTCAACAACTGCAGTGATTCGCTTCCCAACCGGGGGCAAAAAAAGAGGTCATAAAATCAGATGTGATTCACTTAACAACTGCCTTGCTTAGCGATGGAAATTTCTGCTCCCAGTTTTGGTCGTAAGCCGAGGACTATCTGTACCGGCTTTGGTGCCACACTAGAACTTTAGCATAAAATTGAGCACCAGGTCCCAGGCACGCCCTGGCCCTGAAGAATCCATTGTGATAGCCACCCCTGGCCCTGGGTGCTGCCTCGGTTTGCCCGCCCATTAAACAACCGGATCGGAAGTTCATTTTTTTATATATATAACAAATTTTATTAGTTTTCCAGTTTAACATCCCAGTATTTGGAAAGCAACGTGGTGACTAGGTAATCAATGATTCAGTAACAAACAAATGTGTACATATCTCAGGTTAAATTATCAAAAATTCCTTCTCCATTTGGTATATCATACTAAAACTAATACATTTCTAACTATAACAAATTCAGTTAAAGCATTTATCAATCCATTTTTTCCTTATACATATCCATATCCTGTTTTTAAGTTTTACCTCATTCTTAATTTTTAATTGCAACATTCCAATTTAACCTTTAAGATCCATAGTATTTAAAGTTCTGGTAACCCAAATTTCCTTTATTTGGTTACACAAAAGTTATAATATCTAAAATACATATATTACTTACTTAAATATATTCTTCTCATTTTATTTCATAAACATTTTCTATCTTTCATCCTAGTACATCACCACTTACTAATAGAGTAGCCTTTATATCTTCACTTTAAAGCAGTTTATTTGGGTACCCTGATAAAGTGGGATCTCCCTATGAAAAGGAGAACCTCAGGACCCATTTTACATTCCTTTTTATAGTTAACTGTAACAGAGAAAAATGAAAGAGGAAAGTTGGTGGGACAAGATAAGAAAAGCCCCTCCTTGCATAGTGAATCAACTACAAAGCTTGTTTGAAGTTAGATAACCAGATGCCAGTTGACACAAAGAAACTTTTTCTTAGTCTCCAAACATCCTTCTGTAAATGACCTTTTCAGTTTAGGCATGTCAAAAGCCATCTAATCAATCCACACAACCACAGGACAAAATGCTCCCCCACATTCTTCCAGTCTGTCGTGAACCTCAACGTCATTTTAAAAGAGAAAATTAAGTCAAATTAAAATGCAAAGTATCTCCCTTAGGTAACACGTTACAAAATCCATGTCACGTGCCCCCCTCAGTTGTGATTGCGTAGAACAACTTTGGACGGCGCCCTGGATGTTTGTGTCTTTAGGTTGCGTAATAATGGAATGTGTTTGCTGTGTTTTCTGTCTTTGGGGGGACAGGGATGCCTTTCAACCAACTTGGGACCCTGGCTGGGAGTAAATACTACAACGTGGAAGCTACCTATTGCTACTTGCGCTGGTAAGTGTGTCTCCTACAGAAAAGAAACAATTTATAAAAGGCACCAAACCCTCTCTGTGTCCTGTAGACCAGGGGGTCTCCAACCTTGGCAACTTTTAAGACTTGTGGACTTCCACTCCCAGAATTCCCCAGCCAGCACAGCTGGCTGGGGAGTTCTGGGAGTGGAAGTCCACAAGTCTTAAAGTTGCCAAGGTTGGAGACCTCCCCTGTAGACTATGCTGGCTGGCCATGAAAAAAAAAACTATACTGTTTTTTTTCTCCTATCTTTCCAATAAGGCAATTCTGGCTTCCAGCTACACAGTGGGAGAGTGTCCCCTTTTCTTCCTGTCTCCATATTGTCAAGACAAAAAAAAGATCATTCTTCCTTTCCTGCTTGGACAGGGTTGGACTAGAAGACCACCACCCCCACTCTGTTGCTCTGTTGTTTTGTTATTTCTTTTTTGGGAACTCAGAACTTTATGAAGAAGGATGTTTGAGGCCAGAGCGGGTGGAACTGATTCGATGGCTGGCCGAGGACGTCCTTCGGAACCCAAGCTTTCCCTTTATTTATTTGTGTTTCTCAAGCTTGGCAACTTTTAAGTGTGTGGACTTCAACTCCCAGAATTCGCCAGCCAGCATAGGGGGGAATTCATCTTAAAGTTGCCAAGATTGACAAAGGCTGATTTAGATGAAAAGCAAAATCAGGACGACCTGGAGCCCGACTCATAGAAACTCTGCAGAGTAGCCGTTGCCGTTTTTTGAGGAATTGTTTTATTCCCAGCCCATGTTTCCTAAATAGAAAGGTGGCAGGTAGAGTTAGATTTGCAGAACACCTGACAGAGGTTAGTGATGTGGCGTTCATAGCCTCCAACGTCCATGAATCGTTTTGGGGTGTCCTCCTTAACTAAATGAACAAGAGTTCTGGTGAAATATCAGCCTTTAAAAAAAAAAAAAAAATCTTTACACACATGACCTAGCTCAGCATTCTGCAGTGACTTCCATTGCCTGGAATGTGGTTCCTCTGCAGAATGTAGGCTTGGTAGATCCCAGATTCCCCTTAACGGGTACACTGAGCATGAACTAGGTTAGATGTTTCACGAGCAAAGAGGCAGCCTTTGTGGAAGGGAGAGAAACTAAAGTCACCAAAGTAAATCATCTGGGAGGGGGGAAAGGAGGGAGGGAGGAGGAAAAAGAAGGAAGGGAAGGAAGGAAGGAAGGAAGGAAGGAAGGAAGGAAGGGCAGTGGAGGAAGGGCAGTGGAGGAAGGGAGGAGGAAAAGCAAGGAAGGAAGGAGATGGAGGGAAGGAAGGAGAGAGAGGGAGGAAGGAAGGAGTGGAGGAATGGAGGAGGGAAGGGAGGAAGGAAGGGGGAGTGGAGGAAGGGAGGAGGAAAGGGGAGGAAGGAAGGAGAAGAGGGAAGGAAGGAGAGAGGGAGGAAGGAAGGAGTGGAGGAATGGAGGAGGGAAGGGAGGAAGGGAGGAGGAAAGGGGAGGAAGGAAGGAGAAGGGAGGGAAGGAAGGAGAGGGAGGAAGGAAGGAGTGGAGGAAGGGAGGAGGAAAGGGGAGGAAGGAAGGAAGATGTCTTCCTTGAATAAATTGACTGCAGCAGCCGTTTATTCTGGCCTTTAATTCTGTTTTAAACTTCTTGCCAAGCACAGGATGTTTAAAGCAGAATTAAGGCTGTTCCTTGGGAGAGTCTGATTGAGAAAATAATTTTTCTTCTCCCTTGGGCTTCGCTCCCCTGTTTAGCATCCAGTCGGAAGTGTCCTTTGAAGGCGCTTACGGGAATCTCAAGCGCCTCTACGACAAGGCAGCCAAAATGTATCACCAGCTGAAAAAATGCGAGACACGGAAGCTGTCTTCCAGCAGAAAAAGGTGAGAAGGCAGTCCCCGCAGGCCCTGGAGAATTTCACTCCGCCTCCAGTCGACATTCCAAGGTGGACACAAACCGGAATGACCAGTCAGTCGTCGGATCGACAGCTCTTGCTGTAGTTGGGCACTGAAGACAGCTTATCCTGCCCAAACCTATTTAAATCAGCCATTTTCTGACTCTTTTATGGCTGAAGACATCACTGGAGGATGCAGCGTTGATGACTCAGTTCTTTTTTTGCGGTGGTTTTCAAGCTTGGCAACTAAGATGTGTGGAGTTCAATTCCCAGAATTCTCCAGTCAGCACGGCTGGCTGGGGAATTCTGGGAGTTGAAGTTCACATATCTTAAAGTTGCTGAGGATGGAAAAAATCTTGGGGTGAAAAAAAACAACTTACCCACTTTCTTTTGGCTGATAATTTGCAGAAAAATCACCTCGCTCAATGAGATTGCTAAGTGAGGTGAACCAGCTTAAATTGTGTCTGTTTTTACCCTTTGCCCTGCGAGTGCTAGACCATCATTCATAACAAGGAAGCCCTGGGGCAATAATCTTAGATCTCAGATTAGACTTGCCTTGGACGGCCAAAGTTTAGCTCTAAGGAAACCAGTTTGTTCAGCATAAAGCGGTCCTTGTGTGCAAATATGTACTGGTTGTCCTCGACTTACAACAGTTCATTTAGTGACCATTCAAAGTTACAATGGTGCTGACAAAAGTGATTTAGGACTGTTTTTCACACTTACGACCGTTGCAGCATCCCCCCCTCATGGTCACGTGATCAAAATTTAGGCGCTTGGCAACGGACTCGTATTTATGACGGTTGCAGCGTTCCCTTTGACGAACTCCTGACCAGCAGTGTCAATGAGGAAACCAGATCCACTTAACCATGCTACTAACTTAACAACTTCAGTGATTCATTTAACAACTGTGGCAAGAAAGGTTGTAAAATGGGGCGAAACTCGCTTAACTGTCTCGCTTAGCATTTTGGGCTCAACTGTGGGCGTAAGTCGAGGACAACATGTATGGAAAAATGTAGAATTCTTTGTCTCAGCTAGGATTCCCTCTCAGGAATTATGTAGAAATATTTTGTATGTGTGTGAAAGGGGCAGAATTCAGGTAGTAACTGCGGTTCCAGTTCTCAGGAGCTCTTCTTTTTGAGGCCAAAGATTCTGAAATTTAAGGTTTTTAAGAGAAGTTTTAAACATTGCTTTGTCCAAAGATCACATCGATTCAGAGAGATAAGATTTTTCACTTGGCAGAGTTTCACCAAGATTTCCCTCCAGTCATTTTTTTCCCCCTTGCCAAAAGCAATTAAAGGAGTGAAAAAATTCACGACGTTTGTCTGACGTGTATCAAAACCTGCTAAACGCTCCCTCTTTCTCCTTCCCACCCTCTCAAATTTGGCAGGTGCAAAGACATTAAAAGGTTGCTGGTGAGCTTCATGTATTTGCAGAGCCTCTTTCAGCCAAAGAGCAGGTAAGATTCTCCCCTGTGAAACCTCCTGATGCCGTAAACACCACTATTTAAGAAAAGTTTCCATGATGGCCTTCCTTGGTGGGAGAACCAGGGCTATTCTACTCCACAGCAGCCTATGGTTCCCTGCATGGCGTAACAGCTGCCATATTAGTAAGTTAGAGTCTATTTAGTGTTGTTGTAAGGACCCACCTCGCTTTACATCTTAAGAAGACAGAACTCTTGGAATATCTTTTCCAACAGGCATATTTATTAAGAGAAAATTATTGTAGGCGTGCTAGACAGGATCTGAGGAATTCTCTCCCACCCTTCAATGTGTTAAGTGTTTTCAAGCAGGCTCCCCCGCACCCCCCAGTTCTTCTGGGCGACGATCCTCCTCCTCTATTTTCCCAGACTCCAGGCGCTGCATTGTTCCCCCCCCTTTTCCCTTACTGCCAAGTAGATGAAAGCTGATGGGCCATATTGTTATGGTCAGTCCTCTTGGTGAGATCCACATTCAGTCCCTTTGAAGTTTTAATGAAGGAAGTGAGAGCCATAAAACCCCTTTGCTCATCCCCCTTCCCCTTCGTAGTATGACAGAATCCAGAGAGGGCAGAAATGGGGTTTTCCATAGTCAATAACTAGACATGAAATATAATTGGATTCTGACAGTTGTTTTCTTAGCTACCTTCAGTTTTTTGGCTTCTCTTAGTGGCCCTCTTTTTCTTTCTTGGGTCTGTGATCTTGCAGTTGAACACACACCACACACACACGTTCGGTGGGCTCTTGGTTCAGATGGAGCCCTGTTGCGGATTTGCCGCGAGGACCCTGTTCAGGTTCTCACACTTCCCCTGGTTTCCCGAGCTGAGTTTTCTACACAATTGTGGCTGCCTCCTGGTTGTAGCGGTGGCTCAATCCTCTGCCTTTTCTCTCTCTCTCTCTCTCTCTTCTCAGTTCTGCCGACTCGGAGCTGACCTCCCTCTGCCAGTCAGTCCTGGAAGAATTCAACCTCTGCCTTTTCTACCTGTCCTCCTCACCCCACACCAGCTCCACCACGGAGGAGGAGGAGGAATGGGAGAACGGCTGCTCCTTCCTGCCGGACCTGCTCATCTTCCGCATGATTGTCGTCTGCCTGATGAGCGTTCACAGCCTCAAGAGGGCAGGTGATTGGCACAGCTTGCAGGCTCAGAGCCAGGAGGCTCCGGGTTCCGGATTAACGATATTCTGGGTTACTATAAAGCAGCACACACACACACACACCCCAACCTTTTGGGCACCAGGGACCAGTTCCGTGGAGAAAGGCTTTTCTGTGGCCTGGAGGGAGCGTGGATTCTTGTGCTGCCTGCATCCTGCAGAAGGGGCTTCGCTTGTTTGCGCAAACCAGTTGCTGGCATGCTGCGGCCCAGTGCCGCTTCATGGACCAGGGGTTTGGGGACCCCTCCTGTAAGGAATGTTTCCTTCCACCCCCTCAGGTGGGGTGGTGAGTTTCCCTGGAGGCCTGCTTGTGGTGGGGTCTCTCCTGACTCCTCCTCCACCTTACAGGTAGTCCGCAACTTACAACAGTTTGTTTCGTGACTGATCAAAGTTACAACGGCGGTGGAAAAAAGTGACTTATGACCGTTTTTCAAACCTAGGACCATTGCGGCATTCCCATGGTTACATGATCAAAATTTGGATGCTCGGCAACTGACTCATATTTATGACGGTTGCAACATCCCGGGGTTTTTTGTTCCCCTTTTGCGAGCTTCTGACAAGCAAAGACGATGGAAAAATCAGATTCACGTAATAATAACCCTGTTAATAAATGAACAACTGAAGTGATTCGCTTAACAAACGTGGTAAGAAAGGTTGTAAAATGGAGCAGGATTCACTTAACGAATGTCTCATTTAACAACAGAAATTGTGGGCTCAGTTGTGGTCGTACGTCAGGGACTACCTATGTTGCTAAAAGTGGCCAGTGCAGTACATAACAAGTAGACTCTGTCTGTGGAGATGCTCAATCCTCCAGATCATGGTTGTCCCCAAAATGCTTTTCCAAAACCCCAATGGACTTTCCTGGGTTTTTTTTTTTCCTTGAAACATTTCGCTTCTCCTCCAAGAAGCTTCTTCCATTCTGACTTTGCTTCAGTCAAAACTGAAGAAGTTTCTTGGAGGAGAATCAAAACATTTTCAAGGGGAAAACCCCCCCCCAAAAAAAGTCCAGCAAAGAAAGAAGACCAATGTAATATCAATATAAGATGAATTCGGTCCTTAAACTTACATCTAATCTATGTAGAAACCCATTGCTCCACCTTCCCATTTTTAGAATATAAAGGCATTTCAAAAATTGGTAAACAACTCCACACATTATTCATTCCTTAACCTGAGGACAGTAAGTGTCTTTCCGCTGTGGTTCAGCTAACATGGGCAGCCAGCCCCTCTTTGCACCAGTTGCTTGATAACAATTGTATGTTAATTGGTTTTGATGTTCCTTTGTTTTTAACTTTTTATATTTTAGCTTACACATAACTGTAAGCTGCCCAGAGTTACTGTATGGTAAGATGGGGGGGGGGAATAAATTTTATAAATGTTAAAGCAGCATGTGGATTTTTTTTTCCAATTTGGGCATTGTGTGCTCTTTGAACATGGTTGTCGTCTTTTCTGAATCCAGTTGTAACCGTGGCTGGTTCTCATTTTCTCTGCAGGCTCCAAACAGTACAGTGCAGCCATTGCCTTCACCCTGGCCCTCTTTTCACACCTGATTAACCATGTCAACATCCGCCTCCAGGCCGAACTGGAAGAAGGAGAAAACCCAGTTCCAGCCTTCCAGAACGACGGCACCGGTAAGCACACGTCTTTCCTGGAGAGCTGCTCTTTTGGGGCAAAGTAGCTGGGGTCAGACCCCCCCCCCCTTGACCCATCTCTTAAGAGCAATGCATGGAGAACCAACATGCCGCCCAGTTGACTAACAGGTTATGTTTCTGAGTGCTTAAGGCAGCATATTTGTGTTAATTCTATCCCACCTTTATTATTATTTTTTTATAAACCCCTCAAGTCAGTGAACATGACTAATACTCCTTCCTACTATTTTCCTCACAACCATCTGTGGTTGGGCTAAGAGATGATTGGCCCAAAGTCATCCAGCCCGCTTTCATGACTAAGGCAGAACTAGAACTCTCTGTCTCCCAGTGGTTAAGCCAAAGTTGCCCAGCCAGCTTGGATGCCTCAGGTGAGGCTAGAACTCACGGTCGCCTGAGGATTGGCCCAAGGTCACCCAGCTGGCTTTCATACTTAAAGCGGGACTAGAACTCAGAGTCTCCTGGTTTCTAGTCTAACTGGGAATCCTAATTTTACTTCTAGATTAACAGTTCTGTGAGTTTGGCTGTTCTGAGACATAGTGGCTGTTCGAAAGAGACAGACTTAGAGTCCTCTAATCCAGGGCTTTTCAGCCAGTGGTACGGGTACCACCTGGGGTACATTGGCACCTGGCAGGTGGTACGTGACCATCCTAGAAAAGTGGTAGCAGGGGAGGGGAATGAGCTGAACCGGTGGCAGCACCGCACAAGCCTGAGCGAGAGACGGCTGGAGCTGCAGGGCTGACAGGGCTCAGCGGAAGCACCAGGATCAGTGCTGCTTTCTAGCTGATCTGCGCGTCTTCGGGGCTGTCAGGGCTCAATGGAAGCGCCAGGATCAGCGCCAGGCTCCAGCTGGAGTTCGGCACTGATCCTGGCGCTTCTGCTGAGCCCAGAAGAAGCACCAATCAGCTGGAATGTTGCAGCCTCTCCAGGGTCTTGTGATTTACATTCAGATGCTTGGCAACTGATTCATATTTATGACGGTCACAGTGTCCCAGGGTCATGTGAAGTGACCAAAACCTGCTGCAACCACCCAGCAGACGGGGGGAATAAAAACCAAACACCCCCCACCCCACCCCTGCTGCCAACCCTCAACAGAAATGCTCACAACAATGGAAACCTCGGACAGGAGGAAGTTTATGACACCTTGCTAGGCGACTGGTGGTACTCGGATATTGCCATATTCTAAAAGTGGTACAATGGGTGAAAAGGTTGAAAAGCCCTGCTCTAATCCGCCCCCTTAATCAAGCAGGAGACCCTCGACCATTTCAGACCAATGGCTATATCCAGTCTCTTCTTAAAAACCCCCAGTGATGGAGCACCCACCACTTCTGGAGGCAAGCCATTACATAATTTCCCCTTAGTTCTAGGTTGCTTCTCTCCTTGTTCAGTTTCCCTTTTGGAAGGCCAAGAGGGTGGGGTGGGTCTCACCTCGAGAGGTATGATGTTCCAGAGGGTGGGCACCGCGGCAGAAAAGGACCTCGCCGGCTGGATTCCTTGACCAACGGGGTCCACAGCATATCCTTTCTGCCAGAACGATCGATGGCTCAGAGTGTGGGGGGGTCTGCTGCGGCTCGGGGGTTGTGAGCTGCAGCTGTGCTTGGCTGTCCTTGCAGAGGACCCCGAGGTCCGGGAGTCGGCGAACTCAGTCGAGAGAGAAACGGAGGCCGACTCGGCCGTCCACCGAGCCCCAGGGGAACCCCGCCAGAACGACAGCCCAAAGGGCAAGAAGTACTCGCGCCTATCTTGCCTGCGCCGTCGCCGCCGGGCCCAGAAGCTGGACGAGAGCGATCTGAGCGAGGGCTTCGATTCGGATTCCAGCCCGGAGTCCACCAAAGCAAGCGGCGCCTCGGATACCGGCTCCGAGAAGAGCGACGAGGAGGCCGAGGCGGCTTTTGACATGGAAACCGATTCCGACATGAACAGCCAGGAGTCCCGTTCAGATCTGGAGGACATGGAGGAGGAGGAGGAGGTGGCAGCGGAGGCCGAGGCCGAAGGGGACGGCCGGCCTGGGGGGGTCAAGAACGGGACCAGGGGAGCCCCGGACTTGGTGGCAGGTGAAGGGGGTGGTCTGCCGGACTCGAAGGGCCCTGGCCTTGCCAAGACGGACCCTCCAGAGCCCGTGGCCAACGGGCCAGGCTCCTTGGGCAGCAGCGAGGCCAGCATCGCCAGCAACCTGCAGGCCATGTCCACGCAGCTCTTCCAGACCAAGCGATGCTTCCGGCTGGCCCCCACTTTTAGCAACGTCCTCCTCAAACCGGGCTGTGGGCCGCCCGCCCCGAAGGAAGCGGCAGGAGATGGCAAGCCTTGCGTAAATGGGGACGTGGAGAGGCCCGCTGCACCTGAGCCAGGTGAGCTGCAAAGAGGTGCTGGTTGGGGAAGACAGGCGGAGGGGCAGGGAAGGGGAAGCAGGGTTTACCTGTGGGGCAGGAATCTGCCTCTCGGGCTGAATATTCCCAGTGTAGGCCCGTGATAAAACTGGCTGTTGATCCGGGGCACAAGTCCCTCCTCAAGACACCTGCAAACGGGTGGATGTCTCTGTACAGGTAGTCCTCGACTTGTAACGATTCATTCAAAATTACGACGGCGCTGAAAAAAAGCAACTTAGGACCGTTTTTCACACTTAACACCCATGGCAGCCTCCCCCGTGGCCACGTGATCAAAATTCAAATGCTTGGGAACCGGCTCATATTTACGACGGTCGTTGTGTCCCAGGGCCGTGGGATCCACTTTTGCGGCCCTCCCATAATCTGGGAAAACCAGATTGACTTAACCGCCATATAAGGACCCACCCCACTTTACATCTTAAGAACTCTTGGAATATCTCTTCCAACAGGCATCTTTATTAAGAGAAGATGGTTGCAGGCATTCTAGACAGGATCTGAGGGGCCAACCTCTACCATTCAAGGTTTTAAGTGTTCCCAAGCAGCCCCCACCCCACCGTCCTTCCAAGGCGTTACATTTCCACCCCCTTTTTCCTCCCTGCCAGCAGAAGGGAGACTTCAGAGAGAGAGAGTAGATGAAAGGCTATGGCCATATTTTTATGGTCAGTCCTCTTGATAAGAATCACATCCAGTCTTTTGTAGTTTACATGAAGGAAGTGAGAGTCATAAACCCCCTTGCTTATCCTCCCCTTTCGTAGTATGACAGAATCCAGAGAGAGTAAGAAATGGGTCTTTTTTCAGAGTCGGTAGCTAGAATTGAAATATAATTGGATTCTGACATGCCGTGTTACTAACTTCACAGCTGCGGTGATTCACCGAACTGTGGCAGGAAAGTTCGTAAAATGGAGCCGAATTGCCCTTCACAAATGTCTCACTCGAGCACAAAAAATGTGGCCTCAGTTGTGCTTGTAAGTCGAGGGCTACTTGTCCGTGGCGGAGTGCAGCCCTTTTTATGCTGGACGTTGCCTTGGCTGGGATTATTTATTGGGAGCGCTTCAGTCCAGAGGGAGAGAGAGGGAGAGAGGGAGAGGGAGAGGGAGAGAGAGAGAGGGAGAGAGAGAGAAGAGGGAGAGAGAGAGAGGGAGAGAGAGAGAGAGGGAGAGAGAGAGAGAGAGAGAGAGAGAGCTAAGTGATAATATTGTGTGCATAAACTGTGTGATGCTTTGGGGGAAGAGGGGGTGCCCCATGGCATCTCTTGCTTCTGGAAATGGGAGAGACCCCAAGCAGTTACGAATCAGAGTGAACTTGCTCTGGAGTTGAAAAGGGCCGGAGTGGGAACGGTGTGACCCTCTGGGCCTTTTCAGGGGAGCTCCTTTCTCAGAATCTCGGAGGGCAGAGACGAAGTGGCCTGCTTGAGCTTCCTGGTTGTGTAAGGACCCACCCCACTTTACATCTTAAGAAGACAGAACTCTTGGAATATCTATTCCAACAGGCATCTTTATTAAGAGAAGATGGTTGCAGGCGTTCTAGACAGGATCTGAGGGGCCAACCCCTACCATCCAAGGTTTTAAGTGTTCCCAAGCAGCCCCACCCCCACCCCACCGTCCTTCCAGCGACAATCCCAAGCATTACATTTCCACCCCCTTTTCCTCACGTCCGGCGGAAGGGAGACTTAGAGAGTAGTAGATGAAAGCTGATGGGCCCTATTGTTATGGTCAGTCCTCTGGGTGAGAATCCACATTCAGTCCCTTTGAAGCTTTAATGAAGGAAGTGAGAGCCATAAAACCCCTTTGCTCATCCCCCTTCCCCTTCGCAGTATGACAGAATCCAGAGAGGGCAGAAATGGGGTTTTCCATAGTCGATAACTAGACATGAAATATAATTGGATTCTGACAGTCTGGTTGTGAAACTCAGGCTGAGGTCCGGTGCAAAGACAGCGTTAATTTCAAATCCGATTTCAATATGGTTTTGGTGCTTGCCTTGTGGTTTCCACGCATTGCTAGTCTCCAGGTTGTGGGGAGACGCTCCACAGGAAAACGGATCAAAGTCTTTGGCTCACGGTTGCGTTAATGGCTCCGGTCAGGCAGATAGAGGTAGTCCTCGACTTACAGCAGTTCATTTAGTGACCGTTCAAAGTTACAACGGCACTGAAAAAAGGGACTTAGGACCGTTTTTCACACGTCCGTTGCAGCATCCCCTCAGTCACGTGATCAAAATTCAAACGCTTGGCAACTGACTCACATTTATGACGGTTGCAGTACCTTGGGGGGGGTCGCGTGATCCCCTTTTGCGACCTTCTGACAAGCAAACTCAACGGGGAAGCCAGGTTCACTTAACAACCGTGTTGCTAACTGAACAACTGCAGCGATTCGCTTAACAACTGGCAAAAAGTCGTAAAATGGGGGCAAAACTCACTGAACAAACGTCTCACTTAGCCACAGAAATGTTTGGGCTCAATTACGGTCGCGAGTCGAGGACTACCTGTATTTGGATTACGTAATGCTAATAATCCCTTGGCCGCACTCATTGCCATTGAAGGGAGCTGCCGGCTCCTGTCCTGTCCTGCGCGTCTTTGCCCCTCGCTCGGTCCTCCGGTCTCTTGAGTTTAACAGTCCGTTTCCTTGGTCCGAGACGACGTTTCCGAGTCGGAAGAAAGCATCTCCAGCAGCAGATCCTGCCGGAACGAGCGTTCTCTCCAAGAGAAGCTGGAAATCATAAGTGGGGAAGGGCTGCTGCCGACGGTCAAGGTGTTCCTGGACTGGCTGAGAACCAACACCGACCTCATCATCATGTGTGCGCAGGTGAGCGAGCGGCTCTCGGCCCCCCCTGTCTTCTCTCTTCTGCCCCCCTTGGGTTCTCACGCTGGGTCGGTTCACAGGAATCACACACACACACCCCCCCGCCCCCCAAAATCAGGAATGAACTTGGCTTGGTGGCAAAGGGTCAGGAAGCACGGAAAAGAGCAACTTGGCAGTGCTGATCTGCAAAATTCGCACGGTTGGATGTGCTGGCCTGCATCGGATACATCCTGAAGGAGAATCGGGTGCGTTTGGGGGTCAGGTCTCCAGGCCGCGTGACTAAACTCGGGGTGCTTGGCAACACGGCTGCATTGATGGCCGTTTGCGGCATCCCCCCCCCCCGTCAGGTGGCCGTGTTTTGCGACTGCTTTGCTGAAAAACCAGCATTTGTGGCTTTCAGCAAAACCACGCCCAGAGGCAACCATCGGTCGGCTTAATGGCCCTGGCATTCGCTCAACAATTGACACAAAAAAGGTCGTAAAATTGGGTCAATCGCATTACTGACCCCCTTTACAGCTGTTAACAGTAGGTTCCCTTGCGGTTGTGTGTCAAGGACAAGGGTCTTCAAACTTGGCCCTTTTATGACTTGTGGACTTCAACTCCCAGAATTCCTCAGCCAGCCATGCTGGCTGAGGAATTCTGGGAGTTGAAGTCCACAAGTCATAAAAGGGCCAGGTTTGAAGACCCCTGCAGTTCCTATTGAACCTGTGAGACGTCAGTTCGGCGTGTGAGTCAACCTCAGAAGGAACGACCAAACTACGAAAGGATCAAAAGGTACACACAAAACTACTCGTTTCCGGGGCCACAGACTGTCCTAACAGGCCGAACACAGAAGTCGTCAGGGCAAGGGTGTCCACTCTCGCACAACCTCCTTTCGGTTGACCAGGGCTCTCGCCCAGGGCAGTTCCCAGGGGATCTTCTGTCAGACGGGCTGGTTGGCAGGACCAGCTCTGCAGAAGAAGCAGGAGCAAAATAGAATTGGGTGTCATTCCGACCCTCTTTTTAACTAATTGGAGAGAATATCTGAAGCTCAGGGTTGAACCGTGGGGTCCTTGGTGTTCTCTGAGCTTGGTGGTTTTCTTGCAGATGTTTCATTAGCAGACTAGGGAACATCATCTGTGCTTGATCCATGATCAGTGACAATCAGTACACTGATGATGTTCCCTAGCTGGGTCATGAAATGTCTGTAAGAAAACCTCCAAGCTCAGAGAGCATCAAGGACCCCACAGTCATCGTCATCCTCCCCCCCTCCTCTTCTCCTCCTCCCTGAAAACCCCATTCTCTTCCAATACTAATGATGTTACTGTCATGTGTCTGACTAATGAAACACTTCAAACAACTTTCAGGCATGGTTTAACCTAAAAAGCCTTTTATTACTGTAGAGGAGTGTCAGCACGGCATGGAGAATGCCAAGATCTGAATTTCCCTTCCTTTGCACATAACATTCCAGGCATTTCCCCTCCCCTATTTTGGGGTCATGATTCACATCTTCCAATTAACCTGGAGGGCAAAGATTCACTTCCGAGGGCTTTTCTCTCCTCTCTCAATCTCATCTGAATTAACTCTAAAAGTACCAGACAGTTCTGCATATTTTGTCAAAGCAAGAATATTCAGTATTAGCAGCGTTGACAGTTACCTAATTGGGTAATGAAACATCTGCAAGAAAACCACCAAGCTCAGAGAGCATCAAGGACCCCACAGTCTCCTCCTCCTCCTCCTCCTCCTCCTCCTCCTCCTCCTTTTATAACCCCAAATGCCTTCTAGCATTGATGATGTTACTAGTTTAGGTAATGAAACGTCTGCAAGAAAACCACCAAGCTCAGAGAGCACCAAGGACCCCACAGT